TGCTGATCGTGCTCACTCTCTCACCCTCGTTCTCCCCTTTTCACCCGTTGTTTCACCTTGTTTCCTGCCCCAAGGTCAAAATCTGACACTTTGTAATTCATGTCGCACTTGTCCATCACCGTGATAAGGTTCTTGGCAAAGTCGTGTCTCAGGGGCCGTAGCTTGGACCCTTGAAGCATGCTCTCCAAAGGCTGGTTTGTTGGTGTGGTCCAATGCCATCGGCTCATCAACCTTGTTTCTCGCTTCCGGTGGCGTCGCGGACCATTTGTCAAAAAAACAACTCAAGTCAGGGTGTTTTGTGGGCGAGAATAGATCAGATGGACATATATGCCCACTTACACACGTCTTGCCAAGTCCCTCCAAGAGCCGGCTTGGGCAATTCTCAATGCGCAAGTTGAAACTTATAAGTCGACTTGTCTTGCACGGCGAAATGGGCGTCCGTGCAGCAGGGAGGCCAACCTCTTGCATGCGCATTCCTGTAACAAGAACGGCGATCCGTCTCCTCCTTCTCATCGTCAACAGAATAGTGGTTATCCCTGCTTCTCGACGCAATCGCCATCACTAACTAGTTGTTGGCGATGATGCCGGGTAGCCTACACGCCTCGACGCCCACTAGTCAGCCAACCCGGGCGTCGCATCGCCGGAGTCATGGACAATTACCCAATAAACGAACATGCGTTGCGAGTTGCATGGTTGTCCCCAGACTACCCGCATTGTGTCTCCGAATCGAGAAAGCCACACCGTGCGCCATACAGTCCAACCTGGCCAGGCTCCAAGTACCAATTTCGATGACCTGCTGGGCTGTCTCACTTCTCCGCGGACGACACTACCGGTAGTGGCCTGCTGACAAGCGTCTCCTCGCTGGCCTGTACGGAGTAATACGCTGCTTCAGTGAATAATACGGCCCTGTCAACTACTGTGGCCAAAAAGCGCCGCCCCATCCAGCTCGCCCTGGCTCTCGCCGATTCGCTCCACGGCGAGGCGTTGGAGCCCTGTTGCCCGTCCTTGCCGCCAGATCCGTCGTAACTATTATTTGAAGTACGAGGGAACAGATTGCTGATGATGTCGAACAAAATTTTCGCTTCACCTCGCGCCCGTCATTTCCGTGCTTTCCGATGGTTGGTCAATTGGACTCGGTCATGACCCATGCAGTTGCTGAGGATCGTCACATCTCCAAAACCAATGCCTCGCCAAGCCATTTTTACATTGCTCGACGCGTCGGTCGTCTCTCCTGTGCTAGTTAGTTAGGGGGGCGCGCGCGCCGTTCTCGTCCTGCAAGTCCAGTGTGCGCCGCTACGTCATGAGGATTCATCAAAGAATTGATCGTGTACCCCTGCACCCGAGTCCACCCCAGCAGCTCATGCGTGAGACACACTAATACGCTGGGACCGGCAGGTTTGGAGGTAACTAGGTATGCGACCGGTAGACTGTACACGATAACTAGACTGTAGCCAAGCAGGCGCCAGAAAAAAGACCGCGCAGGTTTGGTCGGTGTGCCATGCCGTGGGCAGAAGCCGGCTCTGGGCACCGGTCGTACGTCGTCGGCGTGTCCGCTCTGGCCGTCCTCGGCTCCAGTTGCTTGTAATTAAACTACCTACAGACCGGGTCGCCTCAACTAGGTATTTTGTCGAGTGGCTCTCGGTGACGGAACCAGAGCTAACGTTAGTTATTCGAAAGACGGCGACTCGAGAACCAGGCACAAGGGCCAATATCGCTCGACCGACCCGCCAGAAGCAGTTGGGAATCGTCGGGCATTTCGCCGCTCGCCCCAATTCTTCCCTTTCCGAACCCCATTGAGCTCTTTTTTTTTTCTCATCTTTTTTTAGCGCCTTGTTCTGTTGCCCAGCTGGTATCGCGGCGACTGAATCGCATTTTTACGGAGCTTCCTTTACACATTTTCGTATCCACCACCCACAACCCACACGCCAAACTGGAGCCTCTTTCTTCCCCCCCCCAATCCGAGAACCGCCGCTGACCGTCTTTATGATGTCGCATCACCGGCTGCCAACCTCTCACGCCGTTGTACGTAAGAAAACGCCGCTTCCGTCGTCAGGGCTTCCAGAACCCTTGGCTTGGCTTCTCCCGGCGTCGTCCCGGCCGAGGACGAGGCATTTTCTCACCACCTCGCATGCCTGGGCTCCGCTCTCCTACCCGTCTCGCATTGGGGCCGGGGGAGGCTCAGTTCTCGATGCATCCAGGGTTCTGCGTCCATCCTTGGCCCTTTTCCCCCATACTTGCAGGCGGCAATTGAGCCTCGATGCGACGAGACAAGAGGTGCCCATGCTGCTGCGCTGTTCCTGTCGTAATAACTAGCAACTGACCGCCTGTGCATAAACTATGGGGGTCGACATCAGGTGCCATAGCGATCGTCGTCGTGTGTCGAGTCGCAGATTGGACACTTCCGGGGACAGGTTGCAAAACAATCGGCGAGTTTCGTGTGACGCTCTGTCGTCTTGTTCGACTCATGAACCGACTTTGCTTTGTCCCTTGTTCATAATATCGCCAATTGAGGTTGGTGAGGGAATTAAACCACGCACCTAAATCAATCTGTAACCGTTGTTTAATCAACAACAGGCACTTGCCATCTGCCAGCTGCCATCTTCCAGCTGCGAGCTGCCTCCCGCCTAACCCAGGCCAAGAAGCCTGTCCAACTGCAAACGCACGTCCATTCTACATCTCAACTTCAATACTCTTTTCTTCCAGCCATTGGCTTTCGCCATCATCATCATCGCTCCAGCCAATCAGTTCGTAAATTCTCCGTATCGACCGTCAGCCTCAATTATACTGTCAACCTCTTCCTGTCCATTTCCTTCTTGACCAATGACCCGCCCGTCGTTGAGACAAGTAATGCTTACTACATCCATGGCGCTACCGTGAGATATCCGTCTGCCGCCAATGCGACCTGACCTTATTCTAACAGCAGCTAGGCATAAAGGGTGTTAGATCGACAATAAAGTCAGAAGTGAGTTTCATCGGCCTTCGTTCTGTCTAACCCGCCATTTCATCGACCGTTCGAACTCTTCTCCATGTTCCAGCTTACCCTGTGACAATGCGCAGAGGCATTATGTATTCGATGCCAATATCGCCGGCCATGCAGCTTGTCCCCGGCCACCAAAATAAGGACGGACCGCTGGGGCCTTGACCCCGGGCTTCCCCCATCCCACCCTGGTCAGTGCAAATTTACCTGACTAGTGAATAGTATCCGTACATTGGTGCGTAGAGATAATAATAGCCTGTATTAGTGCCTCTCGACCTCTGATACCGATAACTAGTTAGCATTGTCCCTACGCGAGCTCCCGACCCTGGCGACTTTACATGCTACAAAGCTGGAACTGACTAGGGTGAAACCCACTCTGACCGAGTTGTTTCTCGGAAGCTGCACTTGAGGCTCGATCATTCGCCAGGGTCGGACAGACACCCCAGCGAACTCAGCCGTGCTCGATCAAGTTCGATTCAACCTCGTGCGGCGCATCTTGATTGCAAGGCGCACGAGACCATTAGCCGTTTGTTGACGGTTTCGAGGGCAGACCCAGTCTCGAGAACCATGGAATACGCCACACGTACTGTAATTAAAGCCAGTGGGCATTGTGGGTAAAGAACAGAAGGCAGAGGCCCTGAAGTTGGAGACGAGCAGCCACTGTTTGGAGCAGGAAAAGGACAACATCGCTCATTTAACCTGCTTGTATCCAGAATGGCGCTGGAGAATTGGAGCCTTGGCTTACCCGCAGGCCGCTGAAAGAAAGGATTCTCTTACGAGCAACTCCACGACGCAATCTGACAAGAGCTCAGCAACCGCAAGCAAGGGAAAAATTATCCAAAATATGGAGACATGAGGCTATCCTTTGGCTGTTGGCAAAAGCCGGGTCCGCTTTTACGATGCCGTCGCTACCGACATTGGCGCGAGGCCCGAATCAGTTCCTGAACCAGCCAAGGAGGTTTGTATCGCGAAAGAAACGTGGTTAAAAGAAACAGTCCAGGGCAGATACGTACGTCATTTGCCATTGTCAGCCCGGTCAGTTTGGCAAGGCTGCGTCTGTCTGTGGGTTTGTGTATCTTGTCAAATTTCCGTTGGAAACAAAGACCATGGGCTATAGCTCTTAGTCCGGATGACACAGATCTATTGTTGTTATTGTCTTGTGCTCATCTCCGAACCGCAAAATAGTATGGCGACTATGGAATGCATGATAGCGCTGCAGGGCACATCATACTACAGGATAAGAAATCCCACCATCAGGAACCAAAGCAGACATGTGCTTGATGCTTCGCAACGTACGACAGCAGACATCTGAAATGTTATTGTTTTCTTGACCGGAACGTTGCAGCACCCACCCCTGGGGTCCTTGTGCGACTTGCCTGCCGGCTTTCCGCTTCCGATCAGAACAAAAGAGACTCGCTTCCCTATCCGGCCCTTGCGTTGGCTCCACGATAGGGCAAATTAGGCCAAGCCAGAGCCCTTATTTTGATACGCCCCCAAGCCCCGTGGACTTTCTTGTCACAACTAGCTTTTCACGTCTCCACGGAGTTTGTTTGGCCGGTTCTGAGGCCTTTTTTTCCTTTCTTTTTTCGCCGTTTGTGAAATGACAAAGGGTGAAGCAAGATTGTGGACACTGGCCACTAGATTCTGCACAACAACGTGGACTATGAGTTGAACTAGCAGTCCAGGTCCCCGGTTTCGAAACACGGGGAAGAAATAGACGTGCATTGTGTACCCTACGATGGCAAGTCTTGTTTTATGCGCTTGGGCCGTGCCCCCCCCCCCCCCCGATCACAAATGTCCTTGACACAGATAATGCGGCTCCTTCAGCCGAAACGTGCCCATGCGCGGCCACTCAGAACTCTCCTAGCACGTTGCGACAGGAAGTCATGCAAACCTGTCGCATTGACAAATCGACCTTCTTTTTTTAAACTCTCGACCGTTGACGCCAAGAGTCCATGTGGTTACCACGGGCACCCGTTCTCTGGCGATCAAACATTTGTTCGAGTAGTTAGGGCTGGGACTATCAAACAGTCGGCGATTGGGGAACAGGGCCAGGGCCAACCCGCATCGCAGGAAAAGTGGCGAGCGCAACGAGGTCGATGCAACAAGTCAATGTGTGCCCTGGCAACTGGGTCATGGACGTACTTGTGCAAAACCCTGAATATGTTCGGAAGGCGCCGCTTCCTCACGCCGCCGCCCCAGCTTTTGACGGCGTGCGGCCACTAGCCAGCCATTTCGCCCGGCTTGACTGAAGGCAAAAAAGGCCAAATTGTTATTTTCGCCTCCCCGGGTACACTGTATGAGGAATCAGGCTCTCGGCATTCGCGGATAGGATCAATAATTGAGTGGCTTGCGCGATGGCGCCGACCGTCTGTTTTAGACGGCGTGTGTGTGCCAGTGGCGTGCTTGACGTCACTATCAAGTTTCTCTGAATATTCCTGGGGCGAGAGAGGCACACACGCTGGCGCACCAGAGAAAGAGTCATGACGCCCTGAGGCATGTCCCGTGGTTATTTTATTTTTTTATTTTTTTTGGGGTAGTCCTCGGCTATCATAACTCACTGGGACGGACGTTGTTCGTCTTTGCATAACCTACGCTACGAGCATTGCCACCCGAGCCAAAAGATGGCATGGCGGCGTCTTAGTCGGGCGTCAACATGAAGTTGGCCTGCAGCATCACGGCGTCATTGGCGTCCGGGACACCTTTTATGATGTAAGTTTTGGCCATTCGCCCCTTTCTGCCGATTCTGGCACGTGGTCTAGACAGAATCATGGACACATTGAGTGCCGCGTGTCATTTAAGACGCTCGACACATCACGATGCAATAGCGCGGTTCAATCTACACGCCAACAAAACCTCCGCCCCCAATGCCGATGAACCTTGTACCCCCAAACTACGTAGAAAGCACGTCGCTCTTGTACAAACCAACCCCACGTCCGTACTCGATGCACAAAGAAGTACCGAACAAGGTCAGGAGGCAAACAACCCAAGATGGTGGTAGCCGACGAACGCTTCAACGGTATAGGGTAAGCTCCCATCGCCATGTCCACGACACGAACGAGGACTCTCACGCCCACAACTCCATGTTGAGGCAGAGAGGTCGCATACTCCCTCGCAGACAGGTTTGACCTTTTTGAGCCACGGACTCCAAAAACAAGGTTGGCTACCGTGCTACAAGAAAGACTCAAGCCGCAACATGCGCTACACGATTCCATCAAGCCTCACTCCCGCTCCCAGATGCCATTACATTTCACATCGACAAGTTGCTTATACTGTAGCCACAAATATAAAAGACAGCTCTGATAACATTGATTGTAGTAGATAGAAAGCTTCCCATACCAAAAAAGACAACTTCACGTGCACATTTTCTTTTCATATGGGCACGTCTTCGAGGTTGTCGATTCGAGTAGAAAAGAAGCGTAGTCTCACTGGATAAATTGTATTTAAAAACATTTTCAAGTTTCCCTATACCAAAGTAAATAAAAACACATCGAAAGCATTGACTAATCCCACCCCGAGTAGAGCACGTTCCAAAAAAAGAGAAATCCCATATTCCGGACGCCGCATGCTATGAGCCACATGCTGAGTTTAAATACACGCTGATTTGCGTTAATCCCATCCTCCATGTACGCCTTCTCCCATTTTCCTTTTACCTGGGGTATCTTCAAGGGTACAAAAACAGCGCACCCTTTGTTTCTACTCAGCTCTTCACCTGGCAAGGCAAAGTACCGGGCCTGGCCGCAAGGACTTTTACTGTGGGAACTGGAAGCCTTGGGGAAAATTGGGCATGCCGTTCGGTAGCGTGCCAACTCCAAACGGAAATCCGGGCATCTGGCCACCCTGACCATGGTTGGCTCCGGTGCCTCGGTCGCTGCTGCCGCGCCCACCGCGCCCGTGGCTACCATTGTCGTCCTGGGACCAGTCGTCATCACGCTGCCGGGTCGACTTGGGGCCATTTTGACCGCCCTTGTCAGTCTGCATACGGCGGCTGATGGCTTTGGACGAGACGCCGGCACCGATTTCAATGTCCGGCTCCTCGACACAGAGACCGGCCTCAATGGGTCGGCCGCCACTGCCGCCGTAAGGCGCCGTCAACATCCACTTGCGATCAGCCTCGGTCAGCTTAGGGATCGGGATGATGCTGACGCCAGTAGCGTAGTCACTGCAATCTCTGGGGCCGAAGCCGACTCCCCAACGCGTCTGCTTCAAGTCAGTATGGAGTAAAATGGGTGTCAAGGCATCAATGGTAACTTACGCGAAGTGGAATGTCCAGGTGTCTGTTGTCTTCCATGTTGGTTTTAGCGCTCTCGGCATCCTTGCGAGTCAGCATCTTGACGAAGGCGTGCCTCTTGTCCTTGTTGACAATGCAAGTCTGAACGGTGCCGTAGCGACCGAAGATAGCGCGCAGCTCGGGCTCGGGGCAACTGTGATATGTGTTAGGTCATCAAGGTTTGTATGCGGGACATTGGTCCAACTTACGTTACACCTCCAACGAAAAGGGTTCGGCTAAGAACGCGGATCGAGTTAGGAAGAAGGCTTTGATCAAATTCGATCCATCTGTCAACGTGGGGCAGTTCGCCGCTTGACGATGGAGACCTGCCACGACGACCACCTGGAGGGCTGCGCTGGCGGAAATCATTCCCTCTACGGGCGTTGCGATCTCTGTCTTCGTGACGACCCCGAGGGGGGCTATTACGGCCGCCAAAGTCACGTCCTCCACGCGGAGAGCCGCGCTGACCCCATCGGTCGGGTGACCTGGAGCGAGATCGACCGTTGTGAAATCTATTAGGAGATCTGCCGCCATCGCCATACGCGCGATTGCGAGGATCCTCACGCGATGGGCCATTGGAGGGTGCTCCCCAGGCCGGCTGGACAGGAAAAGAGCCTTGAACAGCGGGAGCAGGAGCAGGAGCAGGAGTAGGCTGGCCAACAGCAGCTCCGCCAGTCATACTCTGGATCAGGGCAGGTATCTTATCAAAAGGAACACCTTGATCAGCTAGAAGCTTGATGAGCATAATCTGCTGCTGAGTGTTGGGATCCATGCCACCAGGCGCTACGCCAGGGGCGGCTGGCATCTGGGGGACGGTATTTGCGGGCATTCCCTGGGCCGGTACATTCTGTCCCAGCATCTGAGCCAGACTAAAGGGCATATTTACTGGCTGTGAAGCAGCAGAATAAGACGAGGGCGCCTGCGAAGAAGACACGGGTTGCGGCAAGGCAGAGGCCGGCATGCTATACGATGCGGCTGGAACAGGCAGGTTGCCATTACTAGGAGCGGCGCTAGATGTGGTATTTTGACGGGCGATGTTGGCAAGAGCCTCGAGAATGGAAGAGCCATTGGCGGTTGTAGAAGCAGGAGCGGCGGTAGATGTTGGCTGGCGACCCTGCAGCGACGCCAACACGTTTGGAGGTGGGCTACCAGGAGGAGTTGTAGAGGTTTCTGCCGAGAGATGGTTAGATGGGAGCTGGATAGCGAATGCATTACGCTGCCATAATATGGCAGCGTGCATTGTGAAGAGAATTGTAACGTACTGGCTTGGGAAGGCGAGCTAAGGCCCTGTCGGAAGGATGCAAGCATGGAGGTGGGAAATGTCTGACCCTTTTCCCAAATATCGAGCAATTTCTTAATTTTCTCCTACACGGCAAGATGATGGTGAGTTTCATTATTGCAAACAAATAAGCATAGTGCTGAGGCTGGTGTCCTGTTGTGTTGATTCTACGTCGCATGGCGCAGAAGCAGATGCAACGACAACAGAAGCAGCGTCGGCTGTCAAGTAATATGCGTACCTTTTGGTCTTCAGGGGCGGATTGAGTAATATCATTCATCAATACGGGCATCAGTTCGGTTACTCGGTGCACTCCAGCAGCATATGTGCCATCAGAAGCAGAACTGTTAATGGGCTGGCCTTGTGCCTTGGCCTGCTCGAGCCATTTTCGGGTTACTGAGTCTACGACGTAGAGAACACCAAGCTTATGGGTTCCCGGAGTCTTTTTGAAGTGGGTGTAGATTTTTTGAATAAGGACGGATTCAGACTGTTGGGATGGATTGTTAGAATGAGAAGCGCAAGAGCGGTGATTTTGAGCGAGTCTAACCTGAATATTGGCGACGCAAAGCGAAGTCAAACTTGTGATGCGAGAGCCGGAAACGCCGGGAGGCTTGAGGTTGAGCATGGCCTGGAGGCCAGTCTCGAGATCTGTTACTGCTGAAGCCATGATGCTGTGGTGTTGTGGCTGTCACGTTCCCCTAAGTGGTGATAGTCGAGAGAAGCACAAGTGCGCGCTTATGCGGCAAACAGAGCCAGAGGAAAAGAGACCGAAAGGAGCAAGCAACTTGCGAAGAAAGCTGACTCGTCGGAAGAGATCTAGAGGTGGTGGCCCAAAGAAACAAACGGTGAAATGTCCTACAAGGAGGCGCGGATACTGGTACGACGAGGCGAGTTCGGTCTGTCTTCAAGTACGATACTAGGAGAGGAGAAGAAATAAACCCCGACAGTACGTGACGGTCGAAATGCAGCACAAGACTTGATATTGCAACCGATGGGTGCGCAGCGCAGCAGTCCTTTTTACTAGGGCGGCGCAGGGGCAAATGTGGTGCAGTCACTGACGTGGCTGGCTATTATCGCCTGTGAGCAATGAGCAGATGAAAATATGGCTTAAGACGCGTCGCAGGTCAATACGAAGAGGCAGACGGGCGGAATAGCACGGCCGCTACTTGAAAAGACGAAGGAAGCTGATGTACGAGGAGTGTTGTCGATGGAAAAGATTGCCGGTGATGGTGGCGAGAAGGTTGATGAAGGAGGAATTTTGCAGTGGCCAGACCAAGGGGGCTGGTCAGATCAAAGGCACGGCGCCACGGGTTGCTTATGTAATGCGGCACTTGTACCACGGGAGCCCACATAATCAAATTTGCAGGGCGGCACCACGGTCAAACAAAGGCATGGCGCTAAGGTATTTTGGTAGCAAGAGATAGTTTACTAGAGGCGAGCAATGAGTAGGTAGGTACCTAAGTATGTAGGTTGGTAGGTAGGTAGAAAGGAATTTGTTGTCTACGAAACTTTTCTCGGCAGATGGGGGCTACTGTTATACTATATTTTGGACCCCGCGCAGATGAATCTCTATGTGTTTTGGAGCTACAGAGCAACTGCTGCGGCATGAATAACTGAGAGCAAGCCCATCTCGTAATACAGGTAATATTACGGAGTATTATGGGTAGTATTACGGGGTAGTTACTCGAACAGTTGTTGCGGGACAAGGATAGAGATAAGACTCCGAAGAGCGCTTCACGAAAGTCACGTCTCAGTTTTTGTTGTGCTGGAACAGTGGTGAGCAGGCGCGATAAAAAATCGGGGGACTAGGCGAGCGCCAAGTACTAAAGTACCTAGAGTACCTGAAGAACTCAGGTACGTACTAATCTAGGGGAGCGATTGGACAGTTGGTGTAGTGCTGGGCATCAACGGGGTGGTTACATCAACGGGGTGGTTACATCAACGGGTAGGTACCTACTGTAATTCGGAAGTGTCTAGAAATGAGATGCAGGGAGCCTTACCAGGTGTCTGGCAGGAGAGCCTCGAGATGAAGGAAGCGCGAGTGTTGGGCGAGGTCTGAATTGCGTTGGGAGATTTGTCTGTGGCTGTCAACAAATTGAGGGCGCAGGCACCAGCGTAGTTACCGTTCCAGCGTATCTGTACCTGACGGACGGGCTTTTTCGTGTCAAAATTTGCGTCGCAAATGACGTATTTTTGGAGCGCCACAGGCGGGTTGTCCGCTGTCGCAAGCGCTGGCTTCCAGCCCGGCAGAGCCGCACGCAAAAGTTACAGCGGGCCTCGAACAACGGAGTATGTGCTCTTGCGCAAACGATCACCGAACAGCCACGCAAAGCTGCTCGGAATTGCCTTGAGCTCTCTCGTAGTTTGCTTCAGCAGTGGATCATCCTGGAGGCTTCAGCTTGTGGCGGAGGAAGTAAGGGTACTATTATCCAGTAGTAGTAACGCTGGGTAGAGTGCTACGCATTGGAGCCAGAGGACACCCGAGTTTGCGTGACTGTGCGACATTATTCATTATTGTTCTCGAGCAAGCTGTAACAGGTACCTTAGTAGTCATTTTAACAGTATCAATTGCGCTTTATTCACTCCTGAGATGCTGCAGCGCTGCAGCCCACCAAAAACCAAAAGCCACATCCCCCGGCCCGGCGCTGAACCCATCCATTTTTTTAGCAGCTGGCCGCGACACTAACATTAAGCCGACCCGACCCAGACCAGGGCCTTCTTACTGTACTCCGTCCTTTTTTTTCCTACTCTGCGCTTTTTTTAACCCCCTTCTTACCCATCCCATCTTACCTCTTCTTTTCTTTCCCCTACTTTTCTCCATCCTTGCCCTGAATCAGTCTTCTCTCTGAACCAATTCATTCCTGGCTCGCAATGGCTTCCGTCACCCGTCTCAGCAACTCTGCCCTGAAGGCCTCGCTGCGTGCTCCTGCTTTCGGAGCCCGCGCTGCCGCCTTCAACTCGGTCCGCTGCTACTCTGCCAAGACTCAGGTTCGTTCTCCTCCCGCGATGCGTACCTCGCTCTCGCTTTGCGCTTTTTTGCTAACGTGGGCGCTTTTACCAGACTCTCAAGGAGCGCTTCGCCGAGCTGCTCCCCGAGAAGATTGACGAGATCAAGACCCTTCGCGCGTTCGTCACCCGCTTTCCGCCCTGTCCGAGTCGCGATCCAATACTGACATGTTTTCCAAATAACACAGTGAGCACGGTTCCAAGGTTGTCGACAAGGTCACCCTCGACCAGGTCTATGGCGGTGCCCGTGGCATCAAGGCCCTCGTCTGGGAGGGCTCCGTCCTCGACTCCGAGGAGGGTATTCGTTTCCGTGGCAAGACTATCCCCGAGTGCCAGGAGCTTCTCCCCAAGGCTCCTGGTGGCAAGGAGCCTCTTCCTGAGGGTAAGAATCCCAACACCGACGCCAATTGACGTGACGCGCAACTGACCCAGCCTTCCGCAGGTCTCTTCTGGCTCCTCCTGACCGGTGAGGTTCCCACCGAGCAGCAGGTCCGCGACCTCTCTGCCGAATGGGCCGCCCGCTCCGACATCCCCAAGTTCGTCGAGGAGCTCATCGACCACTGCCCTACCGACCTCCACCCCATGGCCCAGTTCTCCCTCGCCGTCACTGCCCTCGAGCAGACCTCGAGCTTCGCCAAGGCCTACGCTAAGGGCATCAACAAGAAGGAGTACTGGACCTACACCTTTGAGGACTCGATGGACCTCATTGCCAAGCTCCCCAACATTGCTTCGCGCATCTACCAGAATGTCTTCAAGGGCGGCAAGGTCGCTCCCATCCAGAAGGATAAGGACTACTCGTTCAACTTTGCCAACCAGCTCGGCTTTGGCAACAACGCCGACTTTGTTGAGCTGATGCGTCTTTACTTGACCATCCACACCGACCACGAGGGTGGCAACGTCTCTGCCCACACCACCCACCTGGTTGGCTCCGCTCTCAGCTCCCCCTTCCTCTCCCTCGCCGCTGGTCTCAACGGTCTGGCCGGTCCCCTCCATGGCCTCGCCAACCAGGAGGTTCTCAACTGGCTCTCCGAGATGAAGAAGTCCATTGGCGACGATCTTTCCGACGCCAACATCACCAAGTACCTCTGGGACACTCTCAAGGCCGGCCGCGTCGTCCCTGGCTACGGCCACGCCGTCCTCCGCAAGACTGACCCCCGTTACATGGCCCAGCGCGAGTTTGCCCAGGCCAACATGCCTAACGACCCTATGTTCCAGCTTGTCAGCCAGGTCTACAAGATTGCCCCCGGTGTCCTGACCGAGCATGGCAAGACCAAGAACCCATTCCCCAACGTCGACGCCCACTCCGGTGTCCTTCTCCAGCACTACGGCCTCACCGAGTCCAACTACTACACCGTCCTCTTTGGTGTCTCTCGCGCCATTGGTGTCCTTCCCCAGCTCATCATTGACCGCGCTGTCGGCTCCCCCATTGAGCGCCCCAAGTCCTTCTCCACCGCCAAGTGGATCGAGCTCGTCAAGAAGCTGTAATTTGGGACTGGACGCAGAGTGTTTGACTAGATTGCGATAGAAACAAAGAGGAGGTGGGGTGTATCACTTTAGACGCGTGTATGTTCTTATATCGTTTGTTTTGGCCACGGATTTGGAATGATGGAAAAAGCTACCTTCAAACGCAACCAGAGCGACGACTTGCGGTTGCCGGGACGGCGTTTGATTGCTTTTTGTTTTGCGAAGAGGAGCAAAAATGGTAACGCAGCTGATACCACCAACAGCAGATAAAATGTACAATTAAATAATGGATCAATCACCAGACTCTACTCTACGCCCTGTTCGATACCCTGGCCGAGGTCCTCGCTTCCGTTCCGGCAGCGTGGCAACACTACCCACAGACAGGATGGGCGAATGACGACATAAAAAGAAACAGACGAATTAATATCCACAGAAGTGAATGTGAATACAGACGGGCAAAGTCGAGGCTACGCGGCGTGGAAATGTGATTGATGTAGCTGAAGAGCTTGCTTGCTGCATTCCTACTTTCGACACCTGCTTCTTCGCGAAATGCTGGAGCAAGTAGAGGGATGGACACCGAATAGAAACACCAGAGTGAGAACAATGACACCCTGCCTTTAGGTCAGTGAATAGCGAAGCACTTTTGCTGTTCGCTGCCCCGTGTGAAGCTGAGAGAGACCTGGGTCTGAGCGGACAACAAAGCTATTCAACGAGTCGAGATGTGCGTCCACGCCGAAGTTGCCATTGTAGAATACATGCATTCAATTCACCCAGATTTGGAAGAAAGTCTCGTGTTGCTTTGAGATGAAATGAATTTTCATGTTGACGATGGCCTTGAAGTGACGCCCGTACTCCTGGAGGGATCAGGAAAACCGCCGACTCCGTTCGAGCCAGACAAAGTCAGCATGCCACCAGACTGACACAATAAATAGCAATAAGAATTCACAACGTACTAATCGTACTCTGAAAGAAATTGAAGTAGAACGAACAGAGAAGCTACGTGAAGGACGAGTTCATATTGAATTTAGCAAGAAAATGGCCCTGACGAGCGCGCTACTATTCTCGCCCGTACCTAGACGGATGTCATCTTCAAGCTCCCCTCAGCAACGACTAGCCTTCTCACAAGCCGCAATCCTCCCATCTCGCCCCTCAGCCTAGAAAAGCTTCTGTCCTGCATACTTTTCAAGTCCTTTGCGCAGGCCCTCGAGCGCCTGCTTCTCCAGGGAAGCCTTGACCGTGTCCATGTACCCCGACAGATCCGTCGCAATCGTCTTTTGCGCCGCCTCGGCGGTCGAGTTGAGCAGAATCTCCCGAAAGGCGGCGTTGCGCGTGACGTTTTGGGCCCAGGTGAGGATGCCCTCCTTGACGGGCGCGACGACGCCCTTGCGGAAGGCGGCCTCAAAGGCCGCGAGGTCGAGGCCGCGGGCCAGGAGACAGGCGTTCTTGCCGCCCTCGCCGTGCTTCTCGCACCACGCGACGCTGCCGAGGCACGGCTCCTCGTCCGCGCCGGGCGCGGAGCAGCCCTCGGAGTCGGGCAGCGCAAAGGCGGCTGCGCGGGCGCCTCGGCGCTGCCCTCGGTCGGCGGAGGCTTCGCGTCTCCCGCGGGCGGCGAGCCGGCGGCGCCCTGCTCCGGAGGGCTGCTGTCGCCTTGCTTGGCCCGCTGATCGAGGCAGAGCTTCTCAAACACGTCGAGGTCAAAGCTGACGGCCTCGGCCACGAGGACCTCGTTTTCAATATTGCTGCACGCGGCGTTGGTGCCGAGACACTTTTCCGTCTCGGCGCCGCCGCAATCGGCGCCGCCCTTGGGCTGCCACGGGGCCTTGGCCGCCGGCTTGGGACGGAGCGCCAGGCACTTTTCTGCAGAGCCGTAGAGCGTCTTGCGGTTGCCGTGGCTGCACCAGGCGTCGGATCCCAGGCACACCTCTTCCGGGTGGCGGTCCCGGCCGGTACACTCGGCAGAGTATACAATGTAGTAGGTCAGCGTCTTGCCCTCGAAGCACTCTGGCGTGGAGCACGAGGCTTCAATGTCCTTGTTGCTACCTCCGCTGGCTGGCGCATCGCTGTCCTGGTCAATGATGTTTTCATGTTAGCTTTTTTGCGTGCGATGCGTGTAGGGAAAGAATATGGCGATGGATGTTTCACTAACAGGGGAACCACTGCCATTCTGAGCAATGGCCTTGGACACGAGCAAAAGCGTGGCAAAAATATTGGACAACTTGGTCATCTTGACAAAATTTCGTGCTGAGGATGCAGGGGTGGAAATCAGTCTGTATACTGGAGGTGATGGTTCTGTTGAGTCGGATGTCTTCTCTCGGAGAGACTGGATGGCTTGTATTTATATTTATACTGTCTTGCATGAGGATGGCATGGCCTATCCAGCTAGCCATAGTTGCATCGTTGATACGATTTCAAGTATGAATGCACTGAGATGTACGTTGAGTTGGACGCATAATACGCTTCATGGCCGAGGTCCTTTGCCAGAATATTGACAACAAGGGTTCAACGATACCGGTAGCTTCTCCCTTTCATTCTCTCTACTCTATAGCATCATGTTCTAACAGTGTGGGATTATAGGATGAAGCTGAGCTATACAAAAAGGCCGGAAATACACTTACCCCTTCCGATGGCAGAGGTGGCCTCCAACTTGGACAGGGAGTTTATACCTCTGATGAACTGGGTTCATGGGAGGGAGGAAAAGATCAACCCTCAAAGTAATGCTTTCTATACCCCCACTCAAGGAAAACGGACTAACCAGAGGCGCTTTCAACAGGAACTGTGTTATCCTCGCCAATGCCGAGGCGTTTGACAAGATACCCAAGGCCTGGATTCCTAGGCCAGACTGGTGGACTACTCCATTGAAGCCGCGCCCTGAGAACTACCTCAAGGGACTGTCTCTCAATCCCGCCAAGACTATTCGGATGGCTGTTGTCGATCTAGTGGGCAAAGAGACGCTTCAAATGATGATCCCCAATGATTTGCTCAACTCCAAGGGTGGTGGCTTAGATATCGTGGTCAACTGTGAGGACCCAGAGAAGCAGCTGGAGTTGCCTACGCACAAAGTTGACTACAGCAAGTGGGCCAATGTTGTCGGCGAAAAGTATGCCCCGGCTGAGACGGAGCTGCTCAAGATCAAAGAGCCGGCAGAGCAACTCGTCAAGGATTCGGAAGCCGCCGTTGCCGAGGCCGAGAGGGCTGCCTCTGTCCAAGACGTGGAGGCGGCCAGCGCCAAAGCCTCGGCTGCGCTGAAGAGCATGCAAGCCATTGCGCGGCAGACGGTCGAGTACACCATCAAGAACAACGACTGGCTGTTTATCGAGAACAACTTGGACACGTTCCGCCAGTACAACACGGCGCGAGCAAGTCTCAAGTCGGCCGAGCTGGCCGCCGACGAAAAGATGGCAGAGGACTACAAGACCAAGTTTGACGCGGCCGTGAAGGAGGCGTCGTCTGCCAACAACGTCTACATCGAACCGGAGAAGATTGTCGTCAAGATCGACAAGGTAGCCGACAAGGTCCAGAAGGACCTGGAGGCGCTCAAGGCCTTGAAGGCGAACCCGGACAGTGCGCCCCCCCTCAAGCTGGGAAAACTCGACCGCCGTGATGTGTTGAAGCTCAAGCAGCTGGAGGCGACGCTTCTCGAATCGCAAATCTCGGCCACGCAAAAGAGTCTGACCAAGGTGGCGGCAACTCAGACGCAGGTAAAGGCACAGCTTGAAAAAGCTCAAGGGCGAACCTGAGGCAGATGCCGGTGACAAGGAACCTGAAGACAAGGACAAGGAGGACCCGGCCAAGGACAAGGAGGATCCGGCCAAGGACAAGGAGGATCCGGCCAAGGACAAGGAGGATCCGGCCAAGGACAAGGAAGATCCGACCAAGGACAAGGAAGATCCGACCAAGGACAAGGAAGATCCGACCAAGGACAAGGAGGATCCGACCAAGGACAAAGAGGATCCAAGCAAGGACACGAATCAAGCGGACAGCAGCAGCAACACGAATGCCCCAGGCAAGGACACGGAGCAAACGGACAGCAGCA